CATGTGCAAATCAGTAAAACCTTGTAACGTGACTTTCGCAAAATGGCAAGTGCTTGATTTATTAAAGTTGATTAGATTTATTCATGTTTTAAAAGCGTGAAAGAGAACTATCTCTGTTGCTCAGGAGGATTTCTGTGCGTGCGCTCAGAGACAGAACAGACGACAGAGTAAAGTCAACTTTTAGCTTAATGTGCATCTAAACGGACAAATACACTCAAAAATGTGACAAAATGCGGCGCTTGGTGATTATTAATCACATAAACCCTCGTTGGTTATGTAATAAGTGAACGTAAACAGTTGAGAATGAAAATACGTGTGTAACAGTACATTGGATTTGTGCGGCTCTTAAAGTGACAGCAGTCTAATATTCCTGCTGCCGACTGTGTGCTTAATATTAATCAAACAACAAAAGACACTTCAAAATCATTCACTGCTCTTGACTGAAGAACTTTTGTAGCTTTAATAAGAAACAAAGGAAGTTTAATTCTTACAGTGAAGACTAAGCTGTTTTATTTTACATTCGATTATTCAATTTCTATAGTAGGCTGTTAGCTGAATACTTTAGACTTGCACTGTTTGTTTCATTTGTATCTTTTTTCTATTGTATTTGTCCTTTGCTTTTTTTATTACTGACTGTTTAATTATTTTCAATAATTTTTGAGGACTTCTTAGTTTTTTACTAATATTAGCTAGCCTAGTATTCTGCTGTGGTTTTGAGAATTGTGAAATTTATAAAATGTCTCTAAAATGTAGATGTCATAGCAACCTTATTTACAGGAAATATATGTTTGATATATGTATCGCTATCTTTAAATAAACCACTCGTATAAAGTTTTGGTCATGTGACTCCTCATAATCAACAATCGTGATTACAATATTGACCAAACTAATCGCGATTATGATTTTTGCCATAATCGAGCAGCCCTACTTTAAGGCACTAAATATACTGTAAATGTGAACACAGACACAGGGCTCCAGACTGCGACCACCGCGTTGTCCAACTCATAAGCGCTGCATATGAGAAACATCAAATGGCAAACGAAATAAAAGCGTAATGAAACCGTTTATCAGCTCGGACCAATAATTGAGCACAGCGCAGCAAACTGGTCCGAGCTCAGAACAGGTTTACTCGGGAACAAATGTTGATCTCGCAACGCTTTCACACAACTATTTCCAGCTATTTAAAGCTCTAAAACCAAAAAACAATTATTGATAAAAAATATATAAATAAAAAAATTTAAAAACATCAAATTACCACTAGTAGATGGCAGCAGATGAGCACTTACTGGCTTATTAGTCATTAATTTCTACTTTTTGCTTTATATTTTGAAATTATAAAATCATTGTAAAAAAAGAAAAATATATATTAAAAAAATCACTTCTACTTTTTGCTTTATATTTTGAAATTATAAAATCATAAAAAAATAATGAAAAAAAAATCACTTCTACTTTTTGCTTTATATTTTGAAATTATAAAAAAGAATTTAAAAAATATATTTAAAAAAAAATCACTTCTACTTTTTGCTTTATATTTTGAAATTATAAAATCATAAAGAAAATAATGAAAAATTAAATATTTTTAAAAATCACTTCTACTTTTTGCTTTATATTTTGAAATGATAAAATCATAAAAAATAATGAAACAAATTATTTTAAAAAATCACTTCTACTTTTTGCTTTATATTTTGAAATTATAAAATCATACAAAAAAATGAAACAAATTATTTAAAAAATCACTTCTACTTTTTGCTTTATATTTTGAAATCATAAATCATTATAAAAAAATAATGAAAAAAATTATTTAAAAAATATTATAGAATATCAAATCATTATCAAATCAAATCATTAAATTCTGTATGAATTTAAGTGCTTTATTGTCAAATGTGCATTACCAAGAAATAAACGTGTAATATTATTAGAAACTGCACTTATTAATGCAAAACAATAGTGATTTTATGATTAAATTATCTTTATTTTTACCACCCCACATGCTACCAAATCTGCTTCTGGCGCCACCATCTGTAGAACTCAAACTCTCAAATGCTTCTACACAAGCTCTATTTCACACACAAACATGGTCTGATATCGGGAAATGCTCGTCTGGTTAAAGGATACAGCCGTGAACAACAGGGTAGACAAATTTGTGCAGCTGTAAGAGAAAACACAACGTCAGAACCGGAAACTCATTCCTTCTTTAGACTTTTCTATATAAAATCAGGCCTAAAAACTTGGTATTTCTTGCAGATTTCTGCACGTTGTCCTAAAAACGGGTTAGTCTTATAATAGCAGCTGCAGCTACAACAATCTTGCGTTTACCTCCGGCTGTGCGATGAATTCTCTGAGCAGGTGACCGTTCCACACAAATCTCTGATCCGCCTGCATTAAACCATCATATGAAGATATAACCATTCAATACCTCATGAAAATGGGTCAAAAAAAAAAAAAGATTAAATAAAAAAAACATGATTTACTTTCCTTCTCCAGTCTTGCTTTTAATGTTTGAACCGCTCAATACAGTAGGGATTATTTATTTCATTGGATTTTTTAATTCAGGGTTTCTATTTTATGGATGTAAATTTAAGACCTTTTAAAGACAAAAAGAAATGTTATGGAATAAACTGAAATGGTTTCTAGATGTAAATGTCTTGTTTGAGAATGCATCTTTCAGCAGATCTCCTTTTTAATACATTTTACAAAATATAAAAAGCTTATGGCTTGAATACCTCTGCTCTCAACCACTAAAACATGAAAATAACCTTCTGCAAAAACGTGATGTTTTTCATCAGTATTTCTGTCTTGTTTTCTAGTGAAAATGTCTTAGATTCTTAAATCAAGATATATTTACTTGCGAAGCAAAATGGCATAAAATAAGTCTTGATTTCTGTGAAATTGATCAGAATGAAGTGAGTTTATGATTAAAACGAGATCAAATATCTGAAAATATCAAATATCTGAAAAATACACGACATTCAAAGCAAAAACAAGTTTATATATTTATATATATATATATATGTTCTTGTTTTAAGCATAAACTCACTTCATTTTGATCAATTTCTCAGAAAACAAGACTTCATTAATCAGTAGGGATCAATAAGAATTTTCATGTTTTTTAAAGAAGTCTCTTCTGCTCATCAAAGCTGCATTTATTTGATCAGAAATACAGAAAAAACTGTAAAATTGTGAAATATTATTATAATTTAAAATAGCTGTTTTCTATGTGAAAATATATTAAACTGTAATTTATTTCTGTGATGCAGCGCTGAATTTTCAGCATCATTACTCCAGTCTGCAGTGTCACATGATCTTCAGAAATCATTCTAATATGCAATATATGCAATATATTAGATTATATATGATAACAAATCAGAATGATTTCTGAAGATCATGTGACACTGAAGACTGGAGTAATGATGCTAAAAATACAGCTTTGATCACAGAAATAAATTACAGTTTAACAGATACTCACATAGAAAACAGCTATTTTACATTATAATAATATTTCACAATTTTACAGTTTTTTCTGTATTTCTGATCAAATAAATGCAGCCTTGATGAGCAGAAGAGACTTCTTTAAAAACTATAATAATATTTCACAATTTTACAGTTTTTTCTGTATTTCTGATCAAATAAATGCAGCCTTGGTGAGCAGAAGAGACTTCTTTCAAAAGTAACAAAAATCTTACTGATCCCAATTTTTGTGTTCATTTCGCATCTCCAGTAAATGTGTCTTGATTTAAGGATGTTTAGATACTGGAAAACAAGACAGAAATACTTTTCATTCATGCTCACTTTTTTGCAGCCCATGCAACATTTAATGCCACGACTTTATGAATTCAAGACTTTCTGCTCTGATTTAAGACCCACAGAAGCCACATGAAGTCACATGACCCTCTTCACCTGATGAGCGTTATAGGATTATGGCATGTTTTATGACAGAGATGTGAAAGCGTCTCTCTCTCACGCGCTCCAGCAGAGTCATCTCCTGGAAGTCGGGGCTGGTGTTAGCCAGCCGCTGTAAAGTGTGCGTCAGATCGTAGTCTGTGGAGAAGTAGAAACCGTCTGCGTTCAGGACGCTGTTGATCATCGACAGGAAGGCCTTGTTGTCTTGCATCTGAAAGATCCACACAGACTTTATTAGATTCAATAAGAATGCTTTTTTTTTTTGCACTTGTAGAATATCGTTTTTAATGCTACTTTCAATTATTCTTTTTGAATGCAACATAAGAGGTGTAATGCATTACGAAGTAATCAATTACTGTAACAAAGTAAGGGATTACTCTTAATTCTTCTGTTTTTTAATTATAGTCACTTCTGATGCAGTTGCATTAAATACAACAAAAAAACAGTGGATTTAACATCAAAACTGAACGTCTAATGTTAAAATATATGTTTTTAATGTATCCTTCTCCTTTTGAATACTTTGGTCAGTTCAAGAATAATTTATGCAATTTTATATTATTTATTATAGTTTCATGTCTCGTATTGTTCAACTGATATGAGATTTAGAAAGCAATTAGTAGTAAGTAATGCAATACATTTATTATTATAATTAATAATAATTGTAATAATTAGTCATAAACAGTAATCTAATTACGCAGTTGAAGATGTAATTAATAGTTAGCAATTAATTTCTTTTTTAGAGTAACTTACCCAACACTGAACATTAATGCAACTTAAACAACAAAATATTAATATTAATAATTGAAAACAATGTTACAATATTTCTCTAGTGCAGTTTGTCTGATTTATTTAACAAACTAAAACCATAAAAGGGTGAATCTCACAAAATCTGTTAAAAACATGGTCACGACATCCTAAAATCATTAAAATATTTTTTTTATTATTTTGCTTTAAGAAAAAGCAGCATGTTTAAGAAACATATTTTCCATTTTATTTATATAATTTTCTTTTATTTATTTATTTATTATACTAAATATTGAACGAAAGTATTATTTTAAATGTATAATACTGGATATTTATTGTTTGAATGTTAGATATTAGTATTTATGTTCTTATAATATTATAGGAAAACATAATATCATTTTTATTATATTATAATATTATAATATAATATACTACACTATAATATTGCACTACACTATAATTAATAATAATAATAATAATAATAATAATAATAAT